TGAAATTATTATACAACTGACTTTTATCCAGGATTTTGTTCATGTAAACATATTATGTAGGTATATGCCTGAGTAGTAGCATCATTTGATGTGTTCATATCCATCAACTCCTAGTATCTTCTATTTTTAATTTTGTCATCATTACAACAGTACATTCTGGTATCACTTTTAATAAGTTGGTTTTTTGATAATGATACGTAAGCTGATTATTCCCTTGATACAAATTAGGAGACGTCGCCTATACAGAAGAATTTAGGTATCACAGTAGTCTGTGATGCCAATAAATAAGTAGATCACTATATACACGCTGTAGTATAATACAATATTAGGAAAGTTACAATATTAATACTTTTGTATTTCGTTTTAGTAATATTTTTATCCAAAGTCACATTTCCCAATAAATTAATGTTGCTATATTTATATATTGTGCAGGTGACCCTATCATAGTATCATACTAATATTATTAACGCGATCGTTTGCGAGGATTGATAAATGTACAATACTTACTTATTGCGTGAGAGATTAAAAAAATTCAAATATCAATTTGCCCGTTCTGGATGACTGGATTGATTGATATTTGAACATTGGATGGATTGGAATATAACTCGGTACATTCCTAAATCATTTAATTTATAGGATATTTTAATTTGACACTTCTAATAACTGTAGTATTTTACAATAAACACTACTAATTTTACTTTATTCTTTTAAGTATTAATTTTTTTACTATTCTACATAATTATAAGCATATATTTTGTATATTTGTACTTTTATGATTATGTTACCAATAGTGCGCTTTTCAAGAATGTTATGAAATTGAGAATTTCAAAATGCACTTACCTCGTTGCCCTCGGAATGTGTCGATAAGCCTATCTAGAGGGGTATGCGCGTAAGGGACGAAAGAGGGGGTTAGTTTTTACGATGGATACACAGTCTCCTTTCTGTTCGTGATGCGATAGGTAAATATCCATGTAGGTACGAACTGGGTACTTTTATTGAGAATGGTTTGATTTCGTCGTAGGCAGCGTGCAGCGCCTCGAGGTTTTAGTTTTTATGATTATATTATGTGAGTGGATTGAAGGGTTTCCGTAAATGGTTTATGAAGGTTTTTAGTTTATTAGGCTATGAAAATTTTGTTTTCACATAATAGGGTTTACTTCATAATATATATGGAGGTAGGAGTATGCAACAAACTTTATTAAGAAGAAAGGATCTTAAGAGCAAATCATCGGAATAATTTATAGCAAAGCTTATTCAATAACACGATCATGATAAAGCGACAACTTTATAATGTCTTCTACTTGTATAGATGTTATAGGATTGATATTAAAAATGTGTTTATTTGTTGCAATTTATAAACTTTAAAAGTATTTGACCAATTTAAAAAAATCTTACATTTATACAAAAGTTCATCAACAGAGAGTGATAAACAGGCTAAATTATATATATTTATACAGGTATACTACGTAAAAAAATAAAGTCTTATTAGTTATATAGTCGTTAAATAAAATATACAGTACTGTGATCACTACACAGAAGCAGACGTAGGTACGCATTAAAGGTAGCCTGACGGTCGTAAATCACGTCGCGACTTGAGCAAATTAACGCTTTCACGACAATTCGCTTTGTTGTATCATCACCGAGATCTAATGGAATTTCTAAATAGAAAATATATGTGTAAAATTAGGGGGAAATGAAATAAATTGTTGATTAAACCACAATGACGTAAATAAAAGTCTTGTCTAATTTATGGCAAAGTACGAATTATATAATTGAATGTGTAACATTTGAACAAGGTATCATAGAATAGAACAGTATAAAATAAAAATTGAAACTAATGTAAGTTACATTGAAGCATTTTTGAATAGTCATCACAATTTATTTAATCTACTGCTCATTTGAATAGCTGTCTTATCACAAGAAGAACGAGCAAGTGTTGCTCTTTTAAATAATTAGATGCCTTGGTGTATATTTCAGTGATGAAGGTATTTTCGAATGTACAGAAACATAGTGTAGGTAACTAATAGCAGTAACATAATATTACATACTAATAGATAGGTACAGGTAGGTATTTATATATATAAATTTCATGACACTCACCTTGCGGATACTATAGTAATCTAGTAAGTATTATACTAATGTAGTATTCAGTAATGTAGGACACTAATTCTAATAATATTGTATTCATAAACGGCGAAATTGAAATCTGTATTACATCGGTAGGTACGCAATATTTAAATGACCAGGCGATATAAAATAAACCTAAATAAAAAGTGTTAAAATTAATATTATCCATAAAATCCTTAAAATGTCCTAACAATATATTTAAAATTACCGCCCCTTCTACTTTATATGTTATGTGTCACTTTTATTTCCCATGATCATCCATATAACTTTATATCCCATAGATCCTACTTATTTTCCCATAGCCATAGGTAAGTTTTGGCTTAGCGGTCACCGTAGGACTGATATCGCGGATAAAACAACTGTCACGTGGCTCTTACAATGATATTTATGGCCCCAGATTCAATATGGTCTCTGCTATCAGAGTATTTCTTGGAAAATAATGAACAATCAATTGATGTGCATTTCTATATTATTTAATATAGTCTATAAATTATGCAGCAAGCATGGTTGAGTTAATTACAATTATCCTTAATGTTTAATTTTGAAAATTTTATTAGGATTACCAAAGAAAAGTAAACAGTATTTTGCTTTTTTGTCTTTTTTGAAAAACACGTCTTGATATTCTATATACTGATTTTGTTTTAAAAATACACTTACTACATTTTGACACGTGAATATATATAATTATATATCTATACCTATATAATAATGGGAGATAATACTTACTGTATACAATATCTATATCTGAAATAGTAAACTAAATATTCTGTATTGACATAATCTGCTCTCACATTATTTCAGTTCATAAACCTAAAATATAATAACAGGCTTGAAATATTGTGTACACAAATAAGCGTATTATTTTTCTTTCTGATGAATTGCCTACTACGTCACTCATTCATTTCGGCTCTAAAAATAAAGTCTGCCTGCACAAACGACAGTTACTGTTTTGAGTACATTGTACGCGGAGTGGTTTGACGTCCGCTAAACTCCTAACTCGCAATATTGTGACATAAGGTGTTTAACATAAATAATGCGGGAACAGATGTGTTGCGCCGCGGGCACTACAAATACGTTCGCGCCACACGTATCTCGTTCATTTTGGGATTTTATAGAGCTGTTGTTACCACAAACTGTTTTCTTATATTTCAGTTGAGTCAAAGTAAAAGTAAACTAGAAATAATAAAGTCTATCTACTGTTCTCATATACAATTAGGTAAACTAAACAATACCGTTGTTCACCATTGCAATATATATAGACAATTTCCTCTTCAAACTTTCGTATTATGAATAAAAATAAAATAATTATAGAATAGGTTTAATAGTTTTAGTGATGATCCTACATATGAATAAATAGATATCATTTGTAAATATGCATACAAGAAAAAATAACTAAAATTAAAAGTATTAAATAGGTAATGTGTATTTTTGTTCATTTAATATTTTACGGCTATTTTTAATATGAACAGATCATAAACTCAGGAGAATATTAAATAAAATTTGGATAGAAAACAACAGCTCAACGAAGGTAAAAGGAGTTATAACAACTCCGCTAATATCTGCAATTGTTGGCACAGCAATGTTCAGTATGGCTTTACCGATGCCTCAGGCTATGTAAAATATTTCTGCTAAAGCATTCATCGTGATCGTTTGCCTGATCGTACAGTCAACATTACGCACCAAATTTAACAACACACTAAGTGAACTCTAGTGTCATTGTTATAAGGGCTGAAATCAATAAAATAATGGCATATGTGTAATCTGATATGTCAATAATTGGCTTAACATAGTTTTCTCTAAATTTGTTTCATATTTAATATTATAGAAATAAAAATATATCATTGACACAGTATGGGAATTTTATATATAAAATTGGTAGTTCAAAAGATACACAAGAAAAATATATGAAAAAATTAATGACTTTGTAGAAGGGCGGAAGGTACAAATTTGTGAACACGAGAAACAAATGAATCGTTTAAAAGCTCTGAAGTGGAAACATCTGGAAGCAAAGTTGAGGTTAGCATACAGCGATTTTATTGAAGGTAACAAAAACTGTTTAGAATATTTGGTAAAATATTATTATTGTCACGTTTTAAAATCAAACGTTCTCCATTTTTTAATACGTACGTAATTATTCTAAGAAACATATTTGTTAAATTGGGTATCATCTAAGTAGAAATACTGGTAATATGACTCGTTTTAAAATAATTAACGCAAAAGTATGTCTAAAAACAAATTAGTATACTTTTATGGTTATATATGTATATACTATATAACTTGCGGACCCGAGAGAGGTTGAACTGCTCGCAAAAGCGAGGTCATCTACTAAGGCTATTGTATTTTCAAACCATCAATGCGATATACACACAAAAATTCGTTCAAATTCAAACAGTTCAGGAGAATTTGGTGATAAATAGATCTACAGATAAATTATTTATATTACGGTACATATGCATAGAGATATACAAGTGAATAAAAAATGTATGCACTTCAATCAGTACCGACACAGAGTTGTTAAGCAGAGAACAGTTCACGACCAGATTTATGTATCCGCATCATTTGCATCGCATTACTGTTCACACCCCCAACGATGTTTTATGTCTTCGCTAGGTGGTTGTGGCAGCTTTGTATATTTTACTTTTTTCAATCCTCTTTTATAAAATTTCACTTATATATGTACCTGTGGTATCATCTCATTTTGAGGCAAAAGCTAGACAGTCATTGTGATACAGTCTACGAGTATCTGCACATCAGACATCAATATTGTTTCTGACGTATGTATTCGTACTAATTCATACTTTTATACCTAGTATGATCAAAAAAATTTTTTGCAGACAGTACGTTAACATCACATTTAACTTGTATTGTTTCAGATTCTTCTTGAAATTCTTTCTAAAGTGCAATCAGAACTGTTTGAAGAATGCCGGTAATCCTCGGGACATGAGAAGGTTTCAAGTGAGTACCATACAAAAATAACAAGTCAGATTTCCTCCTTCATGGAAGATAATTACGAAACGATACGTGTACATAAATTTAAATTACAATTAAATATTTTCAGCTAGATAATAATTAATATATTTTTATCTTAAAAAAATAAAATATTGATTTATATAATTTTTTAGTCTATACTGGTATGGAAATAATAGAATGAAGTTTGTTCTAGTTGTTTTTTCATAGTAGCTATAAAATATTATTATAAAATATCCATGTAGATAAATATCACTAACTGAATAATTTATATAACTGCTATGCTTAAAGCAGAGCAGTAATCATTGCATAAGCAATGGACTACATTTATTTTTTGTAAAACATACTTGTGTGTACATGCAAATACACATATACATAACCGTGTGAATTACTCCAGTTGTGAATATATTTTTTAATGTTTCCAAGATTGTACAGAGATGCCTTAGTACCGTGTAGGTTCCGACTCGGTAATTACTCGCGCTGTCGACACATAAATGGTTCCTGTTTACCAGACGCGAGGAAAAATTGCCACGTATCTACACCGGTACGTCTATGCCGGCCTTGTTGTGCAGTCTAAGATATTTACTGAAGCGATTTTAATAATAATTTTACTTCAAATAAATATTAGGCGAATTTATCTCATTTATTGCCAATATCATACAAATATTAATAACTCTTTGTTGTGCAGAGAAAAAATATTTACAAAAAAAAGAATTTATTATAAAAAATGCTAAACATAAGGCGGCCTTTTCGCTTAAAGTAATCTCTTACAGGCAACCTCTTTTATTCTGTTTCAGTTTGAAAATTATATTAATAGAACTGCAGTCTATTATTAAAGATTAAAGTCATTATTATTAAGTCGTAGAAATATCAGTCATATTGAATAGCAGTATCATATAGAATGCCGGATTATTGTTTTATTTAATATCGTACCATATATAATAATAACATACTTTATGTGTTTTATACCAGATTATACAAACAGCCAAATGAAAAATATTTCTTTGCTACCTCTCTTGAATTACACCATACAGCTTCAGTATCGCCCTTAACTGAAGGAAGGGTTGCGTTCACGACTCTTGAATATTTCAAGCGCCTCCAATTTAGGGGAGGGATGAAATTAAATTTATTTATACAAGTTTATTTATTTACATGTAGACGATTTATAGACTCCACTATAACTGTTTTAATTGTTTTTTTTTATATGTGTAGATTGGAAAAGTAATTTAAACTATTAATAAAAAAAAGTTTTTCACTATATTTAATGTAATGGCAAATAGTTGATATATTTATATATTTCTCTCTGAATATAGGTGTTATATCATAAAATATTAATTGTTACAGTACCGTCAGATTTGTGTCAGCCCTAATACAACTAACCGTAAAGGTGCATTCACAGTCTACTTATGAGTACAAATTTGCTTCCACGACTAAGACATATTTGTCTTACGTGTCCTCCTACGAACTTTAATCAAATATAGAACTTTATAATATACACATAGCGCTCATTTCTGTATGCAGTAGTTACCTGTACTAGCAATGTCTTCTTGTGTGCGTAGTTATGTCTATATTTGGGCTTTCTGTGTGTCATTGAATAATTCAGTGGTCGTTCCCCAACGTTTCAAGGGTAAGAATATATGGGTGCAATATATAACTATGTACATATTTATAGATGGTGGCACGAATCGAAATAATGCAGTCTCTTTATCGTATGTGAATATTGTATTTCGTGCGGCGGTCTGCATTGTAGACACCTTTTATTGAATATAACAATGTTTCTTTAGAAGTAAATGCTCAAAGCATTGAAGTGCTTTTGAAGATTGTACAATATATATGTTTATAAAACTACTCAGAGTAGATAAAAAAATGCGAATTTAATTATAAAAGACTCAGTAGCATTACCATAGTCGCTATCGACTTAACTTTGACGTCAAATCGTTTAAGCAAAGGTAAAAAAATGAAAATAGTCCTTACTGTGTTTTATTGTATTCATAAAACGTATAATTTAAAAAAGAGATATTTACTATAATTTTACTAGAAAACAATATTACCTGATCTACATTCATTAATAAGGCTTTGTATTTTGTAGCACCGGATCTCATCATGTATATTCATCATCATCATACATTTTATAACTATACATAAAGTCACTTGCTTATTACTGTGTCATCTAGTAATTCTTGCTTGCTTGCACGCTGCGAGAGTTAGAAATGATAGTGAAAGTATTGAATATAGGCGCACTTTGGTCCTCAGAAATGATTGTAGGTATACCATTTTATAATGATGCATTTCTATTGTTATAGATGCTTACTTTCCATCAGGTCGACGATAAATTTTTTGATGATTGGAATCAACTCGTAATGAAAAATGCTTGATTAAGAAGTTTTGAGAAGAAACTTCCTTAGATAGTTATTTTAATTTTTGCATATATCGAATTAGTAAGTTTATTAAAAATAAATAGTATATATATATATATTATAAAGGAAAAAATATATTTAAAATTGTCCATAAAATAATTGGAATAAACCAAACAAAAAAAATTAAGTGTGGGTAAGGTGATACAAAAATCTCCCACAAATCGGTTAAACTGTTTTTGAGATTAAGGTTTACAACTGCATAGACACATGAACAAACAGAAAAATCTAACAATTACTGTTAATAAATAATAATAGTTATTCTCATATATCTCTCTGGTACAGATAGCCAGCTACATTTTTGTTATATGTATAAATTAAAATGAGTACAACGATAATCATGCAAACTGCATATTTTGGTGTATACAAAAAATTCAATGATTATTTGAGTCTTTAAAATAAACTAGGTATACTGATACAAACAAAAAATAAACTCTATTTCTGGTATCACAGATATATCTGTACAAAAAACCGTATCGATTGAAAAGCTGTCTATCAAACGGCCACCCACGATACACACATATATGCACACAATGCACTTCCTTGCATACCTACCGGGAGCGGCGTCCATTTCGTCGAGTCCCGAGACGGTGGCTCCTCCCCAGGGACTCTCCCTTTCTGTACGTTTGTTGGTGTGCGTTGGCATTCCAAATGTTTGTGACTTTGTGTGAAATATCGCTGCGGGCGGCTGTATCTCTGTAGATTTTATTTTTAGTGACTGTACTCCGGTCCCTTTCCCCATGATCTTGAACTTCTTGTGTCGTGGAATTACTGCTAATATAAAAATAGTTCCTATCTATAAGATAATAAACAAGAATATAGATTAGTGTATAAAAATACTATTTGTAGTTATTTAATTATAATCTTCGCACCTCTATTCTCGGTGAGATGATATAGCTCTGACTACTGTATTATTTCGATAATACACCTCATCACGAGGCCTACATAAATGTAATGACGAAAACACATCGCATGACATGATGGGGCACCATTGGAGGATGAGCTTGAAGTCAGTTCTGTCAATTGATCAGGAATTAATCATTATAATTTCTAGGGAGCACCGCGGAGGTCATTCTGACATGATGATACATTGCAAGAAATAAGAATACTAGTCCCAAATCCCCTGCATCCCCATCAGATACATTGTTACGTCATATCGTGATAAACGCAATATTTGCCATTCTATAAGTCGCTCGGTATATTAACTTCTTACTTGGTAGGAGCGAGATTACCTTGTTTCGTTATTGGTGATTCCATAACCGTAGAGTCAGTTATAAATGTAAATCGACTCGCAAAGTTTATTTTGTACATGCTAGATGCGACCTTTCAGTTATAAATTGGGGTACAACTACTAGTACAAGATGGCTTACAGCATAACGATAATATGCTTATGAATAAAAACTATTATTGTTGCAGGTGGTAATATCAACGCAAGTGATGGTGGACGGGCCTCTGTTAGCGATATCAGATAATATGTTCGTTCACAACAACAGCAAACACGGCCGAAGAGCGAAGCGGCTAGACCCAACTGAAGGTATTGACGCCGCGCCAGAACCTACTTGTACGTTTTTGTTTTATTTTTCTTTTATTTTCTTAAATCCAGTTTTGAATTTATATATATTTTTTTATTTACATTAACATGCCAGTGCCAAGTTAATTTAATATTAAAGGCAACTGTTATTATTTATCTTAATTATTAAATTTATCCCTAGGTAATAAAGGACAAGTGTATAGGACATGTTGATATGCCGGTTAGGGTTTAAAAGAAATCAATGATTGAATGGTTTTATGCAAAGAAAGAATGATCATCCCATTCGGCTCTATAAATCATATTGTTAATATATACCTTATTGTCAATTATACTATATACATATAGATACTTACACGTATTTTATCATAGTAAATACATACCAAAACACATGTTATGAACAAGTAGGCTGTACGTTAGTCAATCGACGACAAATGCGCAAAGTCATAATGTACCATTTGAAGACGTCGTTTGTATGCAAGGAATCACTGTAGACATTTCACAAAGAACTTCTGACGAGGGGAGGGATGTGGGGGGTGTTGAAGCGAGCATGAAACGAGTAGGGATAATTTAGTGAGGAATTATGCCTTTTGTAAAAGTTAGAAGCCGTATTTTGAGGTTGCTTTAGTATTAAACCATTATGTTGCCTTCAAGAATTCTTCTATGTTATGAAGAAGTTTAATAATGTCAAAATTTATTTATACGTAAAAATCTAATTTAAAATTTACTATCTGAAAAATATTTTTATAATTGAATGGTTGATGTCGTTAACATACCTATTTAATAGTCTGTAGACTCACAATCTTCTAGTTTAAAGTCACTCGGTAATATGTTGACAAGCTGCTACTTTTACTATTGTAGCAACGGTGTACGAATAATTAACATTGTGGTGCAATGTTTATCCCTAAGGTTACACTTAACATGGTGATTCAATTGCAGAAATTTATTATAATATAAAAAATATATGGCTAATAAATTGAGAGATTATATCAAGTGTCTTCTTCCTCTTACATTACTTACAATTGGAGAATTGTTATTATTAAAATTGTCATTAGTACATTTTTAATTTATGATAAAAAATTGCATAGATACTATAGCATCATATCCCACAAAATAGTATTCATCAAGCGCTCATGTTTTATTTATAAATAGTTTTATCAAATTAATTTTGGTCTGTAATAACATAGAGAATATTAAATGAAAACTCCCCTCCACATTATGAGAGCGTCAAAAGTTTTGAGGCGGCTAGACGGCGTGAAACCGACTCGAAGGGATTACACCGTGCGAATGAGAAAATTTGCACAGGTATCATTGGTAATTCGGTTTTACCATGGTATTATTCTCCGTCCAATGTTTTGTCTTTTTCTCTACACAAAAATGTTAGAGAAATCTTGTTAATATAATATAGGACTATATGTTTATATATCAGCGAATCTTATGAAGGTAGCGGGTTTGATATCGCGCAATACAAATGTTTGTATTGAGTGTTATATCATGTTTATTAATTTTATATAGATAGATATAACATGAATGTATAAACCTTATATTTGAAGTGTAGACAAGTCATATTTTAATTTTATTTATTACTATATTTATCTCAAATGATAGTAAATATTTAATTATTTACTAAATTGACTATCAACACAGAAGTTCTGGTTTCAATTTAAATGATAAAAAAGTATTTTTGCGTTCGATATCCTCATGATCTTAAGGCTCATAAATGAATTACATATTTCTCTATTTACACGATATTTTAAACAAAATATCGTGTATATATTTAATTACATATATATATACATACATATATATATATATATATAATTTACGTACATGTATTTACTTATCATGTTCATAATATTAGGAAGCCAATAGCAATTTTCATACTTTCAGCAGTGGTAGGAATCTAATAATAATAAAAAAAATATAAATCAAAATAAGTCGGTGTACTGAAAGAGAAGAGAAGAAAAATTAATATTATATCAGACAAATTAAAAACGAACCTCGAACGTAATCTGCTTTAGTCCCCTTAAATTCACTTTCTTCCCGTCTTTATTACCGCGCCGTTTTGTTCCCAAGATTTCAGATTCCCCCTGTTGTCTTCCGACGCGTGTCCCCCACAGCCTTGCATCGCCCAGTTCTACGACAATGTCATAACAACCGTAAAACTCCATCGCTATCTCCAACTTTATCGCTTTACATTAAAATTCAATTTCAATTATCATAACTGATGTGTTACTCTCTGTATGACTGTGGACACGACACTTTTACAGTGTGCAATTGTCCTTTTTCTGAAGCAGTCAAAGATAAACGTTCAAGTAGGACAGAATGAGTTTTAGTTGTTTGGCGTTTATTCAACTTTTAAGTTGTTGAGCCTTTACTTTTACGGGAAGAGGGACTCCTTGCTACGACGCCATTTATAGCTGCCTGATATTTATATGTTTTTGCTGTCTCACTATTTTTATAATTCATACCTTGGATATATGCGTACTTCTTTACCTTCATTATAACCCAATATTATTAAAAAAAAACTTATACGTAGTTAACATTAGTGTATTGATACGTGTAGGTAGAAATAATAAATATTATAATTTCTATTTCGTCTTTACTCGTTTATTTTAATATTCCACCGTTTTATAGAACTTTTGACTACAGTAAAGTATAACTATATATAAATTCACTCTTTCAATAGTACTATTTCAATTTATCAGCGGGTTTGTACCCACCCTTGCCGGTAGCAACGCCGTGCATCAAAGCGATATCACCGAGCGAAGGATGGACTTCAGGGGGATCGACAGTGATCATAGTTGGAGATAACTTCTTCGATGGACTCCAAGTCGTGTTCGGAACGATGCTGGTTTGGAGTGAGGTAAGATTTTTATTATAAATATCTATTTGGTAGTTCAAAAAAGTTCGCGAAGAAAGCACGTTCCGTAATATGAATGTTCGGGGAAGTAAAGTTATGTCACAATACACACATACAAATAAGTAAATTTTGCGCTGTAGATAATCGCTCCATAAGGAATAAAAATTCGACTTCATAGTTCGTACATATTGTTCACATATATCACATAGTTTATATGTATCGTTACTTTTTACTTTTACTTTTTTAAAGGGCTTAATGACTCTTATATAACTAGCTCGTTATATATACATTAAGGACATATTTACATATCTTGTATTATTGTCAACAGCTAATAACATCACACGCAATAAGGGTACAAACACCACCAAGGCATATACCTGGGGTCGTCGAGGTAACGCTTTCTTACAAGAGTAAACAGTTCTGCAAGGGAGCTCCAGGAAGATTCGTCTATGTTTGTGAGTAGTACCTTCTTAAATCCTTACTAATATTATGAATTTCGCATTCACTAACTTTGTCTGTCTGTCTGTCTCGGTTTCGGCGCCAAAACTACTGAACCAATTTAAATGAAATTTGGTACACATATAGTTTAGACCCTGAGGAAAAGGACATAGGCTACTTTTTCAAGAGGAGATAAAAGTTATTATGGAAATATCATAATTTTTAAAGCTATAAGCTTGAAACTTATTTTTTAGGCTAATTAAACTGATTAAGCATAAATATATATGACATTCAAAGTTTGTAAAAACATGTTACGCTTAACATTTAACACGGTCATCATAACACGCGTACAAAGTCGCGGGTACAGATAATTTACCTAATATATATGTACTTATATCCGTGGTCCCAATTTGTGCTCTGATGTTCTCTTCAATAGAGTATAAATTGGGGCCAATGAATGACACAAAGAATGATATATATCGTTACGAATTGATCCAGCCATTTCAGAGGATATCCGGAACAAACAGACAGACAGACAAAAATTGTAAAAAATGTTATCTATCGTATTTATATTCATATGCATGTAGTAAAAAACGGTTATTTCAATATTCCAAAGATACATTCCAATTTTATTTGTATGTATACATATATACTTAGTAATTAATTATAAGTATAAATTATATACTTAGTAGTTATTATATACGTGCTCTATTAGTACCAATTTTTAAACAGTATGCCATCGTAACTCTCTCTTTGTACAAACCTATAAAGATTTACAAAAACTGAACTTACCTAACTGACATGTTAATGTCACTTAAGTAAAATTATACTAAGTAGTTGCGAATATTCATCGCGTATGACATTGAGAGTATGCCTAACAGTATTGAATCTAGATTTGACTATTTTCCAATACTGAATGACTTAAAAATATGTATTGTAAAATGTTAAATATTATTCATAACACATAAAACATACCTATCTAAATGTAGCTAAGTAGCGATAAAGAGAAATCAGTTACATAATGACAAGAGGAAAATTCCATCAAAAAATGTTTATTGTTTAGAAGAATCTCATTATGTTTCAAGATACTTTTTTCCTCAAATAAGCCGTAATTTGGGAACTCAGATACGCAATCTCTTGTACGATCCATCAATTAGGGTTTCATTTGTTAGTGAAGCAACTAATGATTGATTTTGTTTTTCTTGTTTCGCATAGCAGCTCTCAACGAGCCGACCATAGACTATGGATTCCAAAGGCTACAAAAGCTCATACCGAGACATCCTGGTGATCCTGAGAAGTTACCAAAGGTAAACAAATTAATTATATTTTAAAATTATTTTTATACTATAAAATTATTGGCAAAATAACTATCGAACGAAAAAAATAGTTATGGTAATGGAAAATAATAATTAACATCATGCTATTAGGAAATATTGTATTGTTACCTCACTTTACATTTATGTTGCAATTGAATCAATTTTTAAGCTTCTTGCTGCCAGTGATTCTACTGGAATTGTCAATGATGTTGTTCGCGTTTATAGGTGATAATTAATAGTTCCATCACATGGATCTTGTTAGAAATAATATAATAAATAGAACAGTTTGGCTTCACAGTAGGCATAACCTTAAGATTTAGCAATGTACGGGATCTGATATATATTGAAATAAGACATTTTCAGTAATGAATGATGTACACGCCTGCGCTAACGGTATATACTGGCGGAGTACCAGTGGAGCATGATAAGATGAGCATGAGGGCAGATAGCACATCGTGGCAAATTCACCAGGTATTTAACATGATGGTATTCAGGGTGACCTCGCGTGGGGGTCAACCTGACATGGTGTATTGCTAGCAATGTGATTAGAAGCCCACATGAGTAACATTCCCTTCCCTCGTAATAATAAGACATTTATCCGACAGGAAATCATTCTAAAAAGGGCAGCTGACCTCGCAGAAGCCCTATATTCTATGCCTCGTAACAACCAGCTTGGGCTTGGCGCACCGAGGTCACCACCGGCGAGCATGCCGTTTAATTCATACACAGGCCAGTTAGCTGTCAGTGTTCAGGACACCGCAGCGTCGCAGTGGACTGAAGGTGGGTCCGATATAGTATACATGTATAACGCAAGTGCGCTATTATTGCTATAGTACATAATTAATTATAAAACTATAATTTTGGATTATGCTTTAGAAAGTAGTCAATTTAAAAATGAACATTTTCGTTTCATATGTAGTTTATAGGTATTTAACAAGTTAGACTCGTCGAAACTGAACTTTAGGTTCTACGATTAAGAAAAGTTAAAAATGTATTTCAAAATATATATGGAATAACTTTCCTAAATGCTAATACAATACATAGGTACAGATAATGTTTGCTTATTTGTAGTTATTTCTGTATTTTTATTCTAACCTTATAAAATTTACTAACATTATACAATTGTTATATATTAATAAGTATGTAATTTTATTATATAAATGTAATGAGTCATATATATCTTAATGCGTTATTAAAATTTATCTTTTATATATTGTTTACGAAAGAAACTAATTAAAAACTACTGTACATTTTAGATTCTCCATATACCTAATGTAGTTAAATATTACATGAATGCTATCGATTATCGAATCTTAACGATAATTTGTTGTTGACCCCAGGCTTTTTCTTTTAGAGGAGTACGCGCGTAGTGGAGGCTCGGTATCGCCGCGGTATTGTTCCGCGGCGTCCACACCGCACGCCGCGCCCGCGACCTACCCACACCCACAGCACTACCCTGCGCCGCCCACCTCACTATTCAACACTACGTCGCGTAAGTGTCGTGTTATCTACTCCTATAGTATCACAGAGCGTTACTTGTTACAGAGTGTAAGCTTACCATCAGTGCTCATTCTGGAATGTTCTAATTGTGTATGAATGAATGAATGTTATGATCGATGCTGTATCTTCAAGTATTTGGTACACGACTGAAGATCTCAATAGTTTCTAAATAATTGTACCCCGCAATGACTACCACGTGTCCATGTAAAAAATATCTTATATTAATCTAAAATCTAATTGAATTCGAATCTAGTCGTTTGCGTGCGAGAATAGCAAACATTTATCCTGACAATTTTTTGCACGTATAATATTAGGATTGTAATATCTTTTATTATTTTGTTGGCTAATATGACTTTCCAAATTGAGTCAGTGCTCAATCCTTCGATCTGTATATACGTTGTTTTCTATAGAAGAACCAAGAAAGTAAGAAGACGGCATATTGTTTCTTGAGCAGTGAGCAGTATATCTCAAAGAATAAGATAAATGACAACACTAAATCCTATATGTATTGCATGCAGGAGCAACTATGTATGCTATATATACCTTTATTATTCTTATATTAATATATATCTATAGGACTTAGAAGTAAAATCTACAAAATATATTTATGAAAGTGTTTCTCTAATAAAACAGTTTCTCTTTTACACTTTTATACTTAAACTGTTAAAGCAAAAATGTTCAAGATAAAATGATGTTAAAACTGCACAAATATGATTTGAGTTCACATTTTCCACGCTTTCAATGCACGCTCACTATTCGTATACGTCGCTTTATGTTAACCCGTGTTTTCTCTATTCCGTCCAGTGTCTCTTGGCCCGTATCATCCAGCCAACATGAATAGAAATTTGTCATCTGACCATCACTATAACGCGTATAATACGGAAGATAGCGGACATTACAGTGAAAGAAATGTGAATTCTAAGAGCATGGCCGACTGTCCGGCAAATACTCATACAAAATGCACTGGCAGCGATATGAAAGGGCCACAGAGTAAAGAAAGTAAACTGAGAAGCGCTTTTGCTGTAGTGAGACACAGTCCGCCAAGGGTTGCTAATGTTCAACACCATCCGAATTGGCAACATCTCACCGTTCAGTGTTAGTAGCTTTTTATTTTTGTTTATTTTTTTATGTGCTTTGTGTGCTTGCATTCATTACACTTACATCACACCACTCTTACCTTACACTTAATATTCATTTACTTTTATTTCATATTGATTGCGTATTAACGTACTCTATATAGAATTATAAATCATGTTATAGTGAACATTAATTTAAGATACTTAAAATTGATATTTATGTATGTATTGTATATATTTCAAAAAGAAGGAAATAAAAGATCTTAAGTGCAGTCGTCTCTAAATTAGATTTTCTAAAATTATATTAACATAATTATCGAGTTTATTGAATGTATGGTTTTCTCAAGTTGTAATATACATACCCCTGCAATTGACTGTCTCTGATAATTTATTTCCAAGGTTATTATTATTTGATAAAAACTGACGAAAGTGTTTAATGTGTTGGAGACAGAAATAAAATGTTCCGTTTTTGTCTACAGGAATGAGCGGGCTTGTTTCATCGCCGTTCAGCGTGAATCCATTCTCTCTGCCAACATGCAGCGCCCAACAGTATGCCCAAACAGCCCCTCTAGCTTCCAAGTAGCCCTCGTTTTACTACACCACGACCGCATTAAATGTTACTGGTTAGTTTTTAACCAATACCCATAAACACCTATATTGCTCATATTCAATTATATGTAATACTGCTGTCCAAAATATTCACATAATTTGTTAGTTAATTCAATATATAATATGAGAACCGAATATATTGAGAAGTTACAATATATTTTTGTGAAGATGTAAGGAAAAAAAATTGCGGCGTGTGTAGCTAAATGTAAATAACACTTATTGTAATTTAAATGTAAATAAAAATAATTATTATAATATTCATAGATCGATTGCTAGATTGGAATTAGTGTAGATTTTTATAAATATTAATGCCCAATAAAATGTATTTATTATTGTCCCACTGAGACTATAAAAAATGTTCAGGGCGACAAAAATACATCAAATCTCTGTATAAAGTTATATATTATCTTATTGTATCTTCCTTTTGCAATTTGTGTGTTTTGTAATTTTTGTTTTTGTACAATCTGTGATATATTTATTATAAGTACCTACTGTTGTAAATTTTAATCTAATGTATAATATGAATTTTTCGGATCTTGAACTTGACTAGAGTTAAGATGACTTGTTTCATTCACGGCTTGTTTTCTCGAATTACAACGGAAAATATGAAATGATCATATCTCGAAACAAAACATATCTATATAAATTAAATAGAAAACTATGGGAATATTATATAAGGATACAACGAAAAAATAAATCTCACTTCGAAATGAAGGTAGATGTATACGAAATAAAAAAATAAATTTTCTCCCAAGAACACTTTAGTTGGATTTTCACAGAATCCGTTTTCGAGGTGAATCTCACTGAATATGAAATATGTAGTCACGTATATTGTTTAACACAGTTATTGTATATCAAATAAGATATGTACATTGTAATCATTCATGAAACAAACTATCACGAAGTACGAAATTAAATAACGTAAATAATTAATTACAGAGCGGTTTTATTTCTTCTATGTATATTTAACTTTGTTAAACCACTTCCCTTCATTTTTTTTTGTTTTGTTTATCCATATAGGAAAGGCAAAGAGTCTAAGCCCATACAGCCGGTGTAGTCTTTGGTAACAAACCATTTCTCTTCAACAAAAACGTCATTTACTAAAGTGACGTTTGCTGTCAAAATACGTTACAGCAACGTTTATTATGCTATTACTATTAATATACAAAAATCGTTTCATATTTGTAGTTATAATAAAACCAAATTATTTTGGATAAAACGGATGCGATATAACGGGATCAGACGGGGTCCGTTATTTATAATTTTAGAATGAGAACATGTTCCATGTTGTAATTAAAATTAGTTTAATTTTTTTTATTTATTATGTTGAAAAGTAACATTATTTGGTAGTTATTGGGTTTTAAAGAAATATTTAAAAAATGTTGTTATATAATTATTTTAATGTTATTCACAGACATGATTACTAGTTTTGAAAATAGAATGATTAGTGTTAAGTTTATTTCTAATACAATTTCGCACATCCTTATTCCCACACAAGTTCTTTATTCGACCCATCTATTTATATAGGTAGATATAATGTAGGGGCACGGTATAATTATTAATATGTTACTGTTTTATTTATTAATAGAATAAATAATAATAAATAACCCTGGACAATTAACACAGCGCCATCTAGACCCACGGTAAACAGAGCTTGTGTTAAGAGCTTGTGGTATGACTGCTTGTAATGCAAATTTTTCTTTTACTTTGCTACATATATATTTCAACTATATAAGTACGGCTAGCATTATTAAATTTACACACATACATATTATATTTCATTCATGTTATTTATTACCAAGAAATCGTAGAAAATAATCATAAATTCTATTTGATTTGAATTGCTAATTATATGACATATCAAATGAATTAAGAATCAAATCTTTTAAAATATTTTATTGTCAATCTGATCGACCTTATGATCTATCTATTAGTGCTCATTTTATCTTACAGTACAACAAATTTGTAGTGTGTATAACTCTGTTTCTCAACAAAACATAACATAAGCTCTGTCCACATTCATAACCTATCCAAAATTCCTCCGTCCTCGTACGATCATGATAAGCGTACTGATAGGTCAATGTAGATGTCCCTCGGTGACTGCATCTTTCCACTTCCCATTTTGTTTCATGACTTGTTTTGCGAGAATCATTCCATATGCCTGAACCTTTCCTACACTTTCATTCCTAGCAACTCATTCACTTACTACTTTTATAAATCCAATCTGTTAATCTAGATTAAGCGTAATTCTCGTTCTTTTTTTAAATATAGATAAATAGATAGATAGATAAATTCTTTATTCACAATTACAGACACATAACATACATGAGATACAGAAAAAACACGAATTAATGAAAGAAATGTAGGTGACTTTATGTGCCGCAAAAGTAAAAAGCCGAACAGCCAACCCAGCATAGTGATACAGCGCTGATATTCTGTTGGTTCCTATATCTTTCTGACATGAACTATGGAGTAAATTTTAATAAGTACGGTTATTATAATTGATAACGACAATGATAAGGTCATACGAGACAGTACGTTGTATTGTCTGTGATATTCCGTACTTATTGCCTCAGTCCTGTCAATGATAAAATTTGTACAAACTCTGCATTGTACGTCTGTTTCACCCATTTTAGCTAAGTTTTTGCAGAATATTTTTTGTAAGCGGTATTTCGATTGGAGGGTGAAATTTGGTAGTTAAAACTACTGGGCACGGAAACATCTTAGTATCCAATAATAATGCTTGAGTTAATACGCTTCGATAATAATAACCGTATTGTCCAGTCGTAATATGATGTCGTAATGTCCGTAGCTTTCTTCATATATAGACAACGGTTCGCACTTATTTGAATCATGAAATCGGCCGAAATCTTGTTTGATATTACAGTTGCATAAAAGAATCGAAGCTGTACCAAATTTCTGTACTCGATCGGAAATTTTAATATTCAGAATAAATTCAAATGAGATATTGCTAATAATACTCAAAACGCTGGTAATTTAGTAACCTATACTAGTGCACGCTAAAGATATGACATACTGCAAAAATACCATCCATCATACAGCTATCACATCACAAAAACACTTTTAAGCCATTGTGATTTCACACATGGTACCATTTGCGCCCTACTTGAAATATTATACTAACAATTTTTGCTCTGATGCAAGGGTAATAATTTCTTTTGTTGGATTGACTAGATAATGCATGGGTTTATCGGACCTCTAATTGTATGAGTAAAGAATGGGGATCGTGTTACTTATATTAGCATTAAAATAGGTAGCCCGCTTTGAATAGCGTTTTGTTATCTTAAATTAATTATGGTAATTTAATAATAATTTTGGACGACGATGAGCAGGTCCATTCTGTAGATTCCAGAATCTCAGTATTAATTTTAACTCAATCTGTTTTTGAATTGTTCTGTTCAAGTTGAAACATAATCAGGACTAAACCAAATAAATCGATAACCTGGGTGGTTTAGCGGTTTAGCTAATCGCTTTATTTCCGATAGTAACGGTTTTGATTCCGCACACGGTACAAACATTTGTTTTCATGATTATGCTTGTTTGTATTGGTCTGAGTGTTTTCTATGTATATACATTATATGTGTATTCATAAAAAAGATTAAGTTCCTATGGTTAAGTCTATTTAGCGCAAACTGAATTAGTTTATAAAAATGGTAAATGTATAGCAATAACTATGTCCAATCACGTAGTTAAAACTATTAGGAAGAACACTGTAACACTTATACGACCTTAAAAAGATTTTAACTAAATTGAAATACAATATTGTAAAGTTGTAGACACACAGTACAAATTTGTCTAACTCGATTACGATACAATAATCCAAATGAGCGTTTAGTCGACCTCGTTTGTCGTCGTGTGCGGTGCACGTGGCTTGCGTTTCATCCACGCATTTGTCCGGATGTCATGCCCTACTCACGTATGCAGCTACTTATTTGGTGCACAGATAATATAATTTTGTGCGTACCTATATTATTTTAATAGAAAGATATTGGCATTTTGTGGTTCTAATTTTCAACATATGTTTTACGGTATGGAATTTAATATGTGTAAGATGTGTAAGATGTGTATCTAATAAGAACATCGCCATCGATGTACCATTAATTTGAAAATATTTAGAGTCTATTAATATTGATTAATATTAATATTTAAAGTAGCTCCTTTTTAATAATAAAAAAGAGTTGTTCATTTAACAGTTAAAATTGTTTATCTTCAAGGAGAAGGTATGGTGAATATAATACCTACCCAACTAAAAACAAATACTATTTACCTACCTAACCCAATAGTCTGCAAAATGTTATATAAAAAGAATTGACCTAACTATCGACCTTTCAAAACACGGTTTAAAGTGCTGGGGTTATTTATTCTTATATGATGATAAGATACTAAAAGATTTCTGACATTCCTACGGGAACGAGAGATTTGTACTGGTAAGAAATGTATTGTACTGGTAAATAGGAACCAATGCTTTTGTAACAAAATAAAATATGGAGACATGTAACATGTAATTGTAACCTAACTTGAGTTTACATCAAAGATAAGTAAATCAATTAAAACAAAAGTAAATATGTTTTGCTATTATTCAAATCTCGTTGTTTTTAAACTTGAAACTAAAGGCAAATGTTCTTTTATATTCTCTGTCCATTTAATTAGCTTTTAAATATAATATAAAATAATAATAATTGTTACTATACTAAATAATAACTATAATGAATAAATATGACTGGATATCGTGTTTCAAGAGGGTACAAAATATATTTTTTTATTTTTCCAGAAGCAATATTTGTCTGTCTCTTTTATGATAAACATGTTAAGTGAACAAATCGTCCGGTCACGTCAAACTGTCGCGTGGCGGCCAAACACGTGTCTGACGCGTGTGGATGTCGCGCATTACCAAATTAGCACCCGGTGTACACCTAGCTTTAAATCATATTGGGCGCGAGAAGTAATCAACAAGGTTTCGTTTTAAATTTAAGTATATGTTTAGTGCTGTATTCTTGGAAAGCATGCATAGCAGTTACAATACACAGAAAGTTAGCCAAAAGTAAGTTTTACACATAAAATAAATTCTATGACTGATTCTAAATCGAATTTCACTGGACTATGTGCAAAATTATAAATATTAGTACTAGTCGACGAATTCTTTGCGATGATTTACAATGGTACAATTTAAATGGGCCTCTATTTTGGCATTTATGCTCACAGTAGAGCCGATGTCTCTACAGCGTAGAATTATGCGTAAAATTGACTATTTATAACTTAATGCTAATAAATAATTTTACTGTCATTATTTATAGCTATATGTACATTTTTCCGAAACAGAGAGAAACGAGACGGGCTACAAGCTTATAATAATTTGAATATTAGTCCTTATTAGATACTTATTTGTATAAATGACTGGCATCATGCCATACCACTTCATTTTTTCAAGGTCATAGATTTGACTATGAGATTTGAATAATATATTCAACCTATGTGTATCTAATCATTCTACAAGTGTCCACAATTGCTGAACAGGACCAAATTAAAACGCGAAAGGTTTGCGAATAAAACGTAAAACGCTTAAGAAAGTCCTTCGATGGGCGCCGCGGGGGTGGCAGTGGAACGGGGAGGGGGGTGGTCGACAATAGGTGTACAGATAACTTTCCTTCCATAGAGTCAATACCGACCCTAGGGAGTTTTACCCTCGAGGCACGGTCGCTTGGGAAAACTAGACCCAACAATATAAAAAGAGACGGGTGTATACAGAGTGGTGTAGCAGGAAGAGTGCATCGGATTGTACTTATGTATTAATAATATATAGAGGAAAAATGCGAGGACGTGCGGCGAGTGATATGTTGCGACTGTTAGCGAGAGAGGGATGGATGGCATCAATT